GAAGAGCGGGTGGGTTGCCCTGCCGCCTGGACAGCGGGCAGCCTGGGGCGCGTGCAAAGGCCCTTCGACCCCCAAACGGTGCCCGCCCCTCTGCGTGGCACGGCTCAGGTGGCCCACATACCCGGTGATCTCTGTGGGCCACCAGGGCTGAGCGAGGGCCTGGCGTCATTCGGCACAAGGTCGGCGGAGCAGGTCTCTGGGAGGCGGGGTTGACGAGACCAAGAGGCGTCCTGAAGGTGGAAGCCCCGTCCCACCGTTTGAACTGGGACTCCGGGCGTCAGTGGTCTGCCTTCCCCTTCCCCGCTGTGGTACTCTCCCCTTTCCAGCCCCCCACGTCCCTGTATTGGGGGGGGGGTCTCCCCTCAGACAGCAGAGTCGTGGCGTGGGGCCTAGTTTTCAGCTTTGGGCTCAGCTCCCCGGCCACCCCCGCCTGGGGGGACACAGGCTCTCCGGGGGGAGGGAGGTGAGCAGCTTTCGAACAGTTGCTGGCCGAAGCACCACTGCAAGTGCCTTGGGGGAGGGGGTCCCCGTGGGCCTGCCTTGGGGCTCTCAGCCTGGCACTGGCAAAGGCTGGGAGATTTTTTGGGGGGGGGGGGCTGAAGTGTCAGGAGAACGTCACATCAGTTCCAGGCAGCCCTCTAGGAATTTCCCTTAATCTCTGTGGTGAAGATCACAGAGCCCGGGGAAATTCCGAGCACATCGCCGTCAGTGCTGTCCCCCCCCCCATTTTTCTCCTGCTCTCCAAATCCTGGGGGGGGGTTCGGTCGGGGGGGGGGGGAGACATCCTCCTGCCAGCAGGCAACTGGCCAGTGCAGCCTGCAGGAGCAGCTGGAACAGCCTTTTGTGCGTGGGTGGGCCCCGCTGGACAGCCGTGCGGCACGGAGAGCACAGTGGTGGTCAGACTGGCCCTAAATGTGCTTGCCTTCAGGAGGGGAGTCCCATCCCGACAATTAAGATGGGCTTAGGATCGATCAGGAATGATGCTTGTGTCGCCTCAGGGTGGATTACGGTACTGCGCAACCCTTCTGAATGTGACCTATGGAAGGACTGCTCAGCCAGACAGCCCGGCTCCTGATGCTGGGGGGGGCGAGTGGCTTAGAAGTGCACAGCCCCCCCCCCCCCCCCCCCCCCGTGGCCCTTCTGGCTCAGGAGGGGCTGACCCCACGAGAGGGAGGGGTGCCAGGAGACCTTTGGGGGCGGAGACTCCCAGAGCGGGGCTCAGTGGCATGAGGACATCGTTTCCCACTGCGGACTGGAAATGATACCCCTGGACGGCCTCTGGCATTCCCCGGAAGCTCTGGCACAGCGTCCGTTGTCGTGGCAGTGTGATTTCCGGTAACCGAAAATGGCTTCGTCACATTGCCAAAACCGCTCCGGGCCCCTGATTTCCCGCCACCCCCACCTTGCTACAAGTGTTATTTGCCCTGGGTTTGACGCTGTTGGAAAGGTCTATTTTTCTGCCCCACAAGTCTCCTGGTGCATTGGTGCACCTCCTGGGGGGGGGGGGGGGGGGGTT